TTAATGCCAGCATTTAGGGCGGCAAAGGCAGGTAGATCTCTGTGAGTTCAAGGCCAACCTGATCTACAGAGTGAGTTCCAGGACAGCCAGAGCTACACAGAAAAACCCTGTCTTAGGTAGTGGGGGGCAGTCTCAAGGAGCAGTGGTGGTGCATGCCTTTAATCCCAGCACTTGGAAGGCAGAGGCAGTAGGATTTCTGAGTTCGAGACCAACCTGATCTACAGAGAGAGTTCCAGGACAGCCAGGGCTGCACAGAGAAAAATCTGTCTCAAATCTCCCCCCAAAAAGACTGTGTCTGAAAAAGAAACAAAAACAAACAAACAAACAAAAAACCTAAGTGGAGGATAAAGAGATAACTCAGCAATTAAGAGCACATGTTTTTACAGAAGACCTGGGTTTGATTCCCAGCACTACATGGTGACTCACAACCATATAACCCAGTTCAGGGGATCTGACCCAGTCTTCTGTTCAGGCACACATATGATGCATGATGCATATATACATACATGCTGGCAAAACATTCATATGTGTAATATTTTTTTTAAAAAAATTTAGGTGGGGCTGGAGAGATGGCTCAGTGGTTAAGAGCACTGGCTGCTCTTTCAGAGGTCCTGAGTTCAATTCCCAGCAACCACATGGTGATTCATATCCATCTATAATGCGATCTGGTGCCCTCTTCTGGTGGGCAGGTATACATGGAGGCAGAATGTTGTATACACAATAAATAAATAAATCTTTGAAAAAAATAGTTTAAAAAAAAAATTTAGGGGCTGGAGAGATGGCTCAGAGGTTAGGAGAACTGACTGCTGTTCCAGAGGTCCTGAGTTCAATTCCCAGCAACCACATGATGGTTCACACCCATCTGTAATGAGATCTGGTGCCCAGAACAATATGTAGCTAATAAATGAATTTAAAAAAAATTTAGCTAGCAATGGTAGATTTTGCCTTTAATGCCAGCACTCAGGAGGTAGAGGTAGGCAGAGATACTTCGAGTTAAAGGCCAACCTGGTCTGTAGAGTAAATACATTACACAGAGAGATTCAAACAAACAAACAGAAATAAAAGAAGAGGTGGAGGCTGGAGAGATGAGCAGCTGTTAGGAGCCCTGGAGTGCTCTTCCACAGCGCCCAACTTCACAACTGCTCCAGGAGAATCCAATACCTCATACACATTTAAAGTAAAAAATTTTAAGTTGTTTCCCTTAAGTAGGTATAGTGGTTCATGTCTATAATCCTACCATTTGCAAGGCTAAGGCAGGAGGATTGCCACAAATTCAAGTCCATTCAGGGCTGTAAGCAAAGGCTGTCTCCAAAGACTTTCAATGTCTAACATGTCTTTTGTGAGTAATGGAGACTGTGTCTCATGTGTTTTTTTTTTCTTTGCATTTTTTTATGGGGGAAAGGGAAGGCAGTACTGGGGACACCAGAGGAGTAAGTGCTCAGACTCACTAAATTGCCCAAGGTGACCTTGAACTCACAGCCCAGGCCAGCTGAACTTCCCATCATCTTACCTTAGACTCTGTAGTTGGTATTATAGGCCTGAGCCACAAACTGCTTTTTTTGTTTTTGTTGTTGTTTGGTTGGAGTTGTTAGGGAAGGGAAGATACTTTAGTTTTTTGAAATAGGGCTTTTTGTAACCAAGGCTGGTCTCCACTCACTAAGAATGACCTTTGCCCTCAGATCTCTCTACCTCCACCTCCCAAGTGCTGGGACTGAAGGTCTGTGCCACTGTACCTGGCTAGTTTTCTTTGTGTAAGTCTGGTATGTGTATATTACATATTGTGTGCACAAGAGGAAGCTGGAAGAGGATAAAGGTGCGCCCATCTATCACTCTGCCTTATTCCTTTGAGACAGAGTCTTTCCCTGTACCTGAAGCTTATTACTTCTTTTGTCAACTAGGTTGGCAGGCAATAAAGCTCCATCAAGTTGCCTGTTATCTTTGCTGCCTACCAGCACTGACTGCTTTACAGGCATGCAAGACCATACCCAGCTTATTACTGAATGCTGTTTTGCTGCCTAGGGGCTAGCCTCCCCCCCCCCCCCCACAGTACAGGATTCAAAGGGAATCCATGGAGTCACTGCTACTAAGGTTAGGGGAAAAGACACACAGTCTCTTGATGGTTTCCTTCTTTATTCTATATTCTTCATACTGTGTTCTGTATTCTCTTATCTCTATCCATAAATGTCCCTTCTGTCTCTCTAGGTGTTTCTCTTCTTCTAACTCTCTTGATGTTCTTCTTCTAATTTTCTCATTCTTGATATTTTCCTTCTACCTCTCTGATTCTTGATGTTTTCCTTCTAACCTATTTTATCTTTACCTCTTACAGCTTATATATCCCAGCAAAGCCTTCCATATAAAAATTACATTGTGGTTACATTCTATTTTTCAAGTGAATGACTACAGTGAATACTAGTAAAAAAGAGCATGTTGTCCATATCTCTTACATGATTAAACATTTTACATATTACAGGTGAAAAACAAGTTATCCCAAGAACCCACGTGCATTCATACCCAAACAACTTGTTACAGATTAACCATGCGGCAAGCAAGATATTCTTCTTAGACAGGTCTTTTGCTGGCAGGCTGTGTTTTGCAGTTATAAAGAAGGGCCAATTACTTTATTACTTATCTTAAAAGGTAATCTTGTGAGGAATCTTAAAGGAATCACAAACCTAAACTTTTATACATGAAAAACAGTCAGCTCTACTTTAAATCTTTAGAGTACATATCCAATCATCATCATATCAGGAGATTGAGGACAGAAATGGGTATGAGGAATTAATCATCACCTTTGGTCATCAACCAATCCTAGCAAGAAAGGCATGTCAGCTAATGATAATTGGGCTGCTTTGTTCTTGTTCTCCAACCTTAAAGAGTTCCTCATTCAACTCTGTTCCTTTCTAAAACTGTGGATTGTCTTCTTGGGTTTTTCATCTCAAGGCTATTTATCAAAACATCTAGTCTAGCCTTGTTATTTTCAGAGCTTTGTTTCAGCTATGGTGCACTCTGAAACCGGTGAACACATCTCCCAGCTTAAGGTTAAAAGAATTTAAACTAGCTACTGTGACTCAATTGTTTTTCTTAATCATTAACCTAAGCCACAGTCTATGTGGCTCAATAGAAATTCATGTATTCTAGCTATGTGATACTTTCTTGTTTTATCTTTTTATCATCAAAACTCTATTTAAACTAGCATTATTATTATCAATTAGACAGTACAGTTTAGGAAGGAATCATCTTCATAATAATCCACAGGTAAAAATGCCCAGTAGGACAGGATGTTTCCAAACATACTACCAAACTCACTATGTTACAGACAGTGGGGGTTTCCCCACACCCATTCACACCATGCAGGTATCAGAGAAAGATAGCAGCGGCAAACATGCAAAGGACAGCAGAATCAAAAGACATTTGGGAGGCGGGAGTCTTGTCTATCTGAGATTCACCCATCAGGGAGTTGCCTCCTGGTGGGCTGACATCTTGAACTTCAGTGGCCACCTACTGTGCCTCTGACTTGGCCACCAGCAGTGCTGGAATCCAAACTAAGGTCCTCAGGATTGCTCAAAAAGCAATCTTAACCACTGAGCCATCTCTCCAGACCCATGCAAATTTCTGGCCTGCATTTTTTCCAGCCTGCTTCTTACTAGTTTTACATTTAGAGTTTTATTTATGACACATCTTTAAAACTTTCTATGGACAAGTTTTTTTAATACAATATATTTTGATTGCATTTGCCTTCCCTCATTTCCTCTCAGATCCTCCCTACCTCCCTACCCACCCAACTTTATGTTCTTTCTCTTTTAAACAATAACAATACATTTTAGCATGTGTATGTTTGCAAATATGTATGTGTCACAGTGTGCTTGTGAAAGAAAACAGCCTGTGAAAATCAGCCCTCTCCTTCTACCATATGGGTCCTGGACATCAAACTCAGGTTGTCAGACTTGGTGGCAGGCTCCTTTACCCACTGAGCCATCTCATTGCCCCCCTCTTTAAAAAAAAAATTGTGTATGTGTGTGAGAGAGAGTACTCACAGAGATCAGAAAAAAGTGTTAGATTACCTGGAGCTGAAGTTACAAGCAGTTGTCAGGCCTCTATTTTGTATACAGGTCCTCTGGAAGGATAGCAGCACTCTTAAACCCTGAGCTGTCTCTCCAGGCCCTTTTTCTTAATTTTTTAATGGCTAGTACCTTTACCATGACATTTAAGTGACAACAAATCCTTTTGGGGGGTTTAAAACAAGCTACTAACCCACAAAGTGCCTATCACTTGGGATTTTCCTAAGTGAAATAGATGAAATAAAGGTTAAATTCACCAGGCAATGGTGACACAATGCCTTTTATCCCAGCACTTGAGAGGCAGAGGCAGATGAATCTCTGAGTTCAAGGCCAGCCTGGTCTACAGAGTTCCAGGACAGACGGGTTGCACAGAGAAACCCCGTCTTCAAAAACAAACAAACGAAGGTTAAATTGTTCAGGGCCTCATTTCAGTCATCAATACTTTAAGTACCTGCGTTGGTCTGAAAAATGATTAGCTGTCTCTGCAGCTCTCTGTTTCTTAGCACGATCACATTGCAATAGCAAGGGTGTTACTGCAGTGCAGACTGTTTGTTAGTGTTGATTCTGAATGTCAGCTTTCAGAAACACCCAGAAAGCTCCAGCCTTGCAGACTGTGCTGTCTGACTGCTCACACTGACTGCTTTGCTCTTTTTAAGCCACTAAAATCCCAGTGTGTGTGTGTGTGTGTGTGGTAATCCCTACAGTCATAGCCAAAAGGCTTGCATTTTGATGCTACTGAGATAGTAGCTGTGTGGTCTGTGTGGATGATAAATAATTACCTCTTAGGCTTCTGTGATGAGTTGCCCACCATGGCTGAGTGTACCCACCACAGCAACTTGCTGAGGGATTTCATGGAGCCATTTATAGAAGAAGGCTGAGCTAGTTTCCATGGATTTTATGAGATCCAAAAAATTGATAGATCCCTTAATTTTGATTCCACAGAATCATCCTGATGTCGCAAACAAATTGGCTACTTGTCCCTTCAATGCTCGGCACCAGGTTCCCCGGGCTGAAATCAGCCATCACATCTCCAGCTGTGATGACAAGAGCTGTATTGAGCAGGATGTGGGTAAGCCTGACTAGCCAAAACGTTCCAATATGGTGGGTTAGCTGTCAGTTGGTTATTAGTCTACATCATCAGCTTGCTTTCTGGCTTTCACCATTTCAGAGGAACAGTTTTCTGCCTTTGACATGGTTATGTCATTGTAGTAGTGGGTTGTTAGATTCTTATATATGTCAGACTGTTTTCTCTTCTATTATAATAAATCATCTAAAAATAAAGTTCTTGAGACTGGAGATAAAACTCAATGGGTCAAGCCACTTGCCTCACATGGATAAAACTGGGTTCAAGCTCCTGTGCCAGAAAAATCATAGGCATGGTGGCACTGACCTTTAATACCTGAATTTAAGAAGTAGAAGCAGGAGGACCTGAAGATCAAGGTCATCTTTGAGTTTGAGACCTTGCCTCAATAAATAAACAATCCTGATACTGCAATAATTATGGTGACAGTCTTTGTTTCTGCTTCTTATTCCTGTCAGCTTTCATTCTATCTGTATTTAGAAACAAACAAGGTACCCTGCAGCCTTTAAAGGCCTTAAATCCCTTAAACAGGATAACCTAGCTGGTCCTCCCACCCGCCCATTATGTGTCAAATCTCTATTGTCTTGCAGTCAATCAAACCAGGAACCTTGGACAAGAGACTATGGCTGAGAGCACATGGCAGTGCCCTCCTTGTGATGAAGACTGGGATAAAGGTGAGATGCCTCTACATTTTTTCCTCCACATATTTTAATCTCAGATCATTTGCTTAAGACAGAAGGAAGATTTTCTTTTTTATGAGCATACCGTGTTGTTTGTAACACCTTATTATTTTTATTGGGCCCCAAAATGAGCACATTTTGTATCACTTTGCAGACACATAGAACAACCTATACCCTTGAGTAGAAGAAGCATTTCTTTACATCTGTTTCCCCATAAATATTGTTGTACCATCTGTGTGTAATTGTTCCTAGGCACAATTACTATTATGTATGGCTTTTATGTTTTTATCGTTCAGTTGTTAAATTCCTGCTTCTTTATTACTTGGACAGGGCACTCAGTCAATTTTCACTTTCACCCCTCAAAATTTCACTCTATCATTTCCCATCTGACAAATCCAACTAACATGGACTGGTGTTTTTCCTAGTAGTATCACAAACTGTTTTGTTTACTTTGGCAGATTTGTGGGAACAGACTAGCACTCCATTTGTCTGGGGCACAGCCAACTTCTGTAGCAACAACAGGTAAATTAAATGGTCTTACTTTCATCACTACCATCCCAAATCCAAAAAAATAATAAGGGTGGCACATACCTTTATTTTCAGCACTCAGGAAGCAAAAGCAGGCAGATCTCTGAGCTCTAGACCAACCTGGTCTACAGAGTGAGTTCCAGGACAGCCAGAGCTACACAGAGACAGCCTATCTCAAAAAACTAATAATAATAGTAGTAGTAATAATAATGCAAGCCACCATCTTTCCTTGATAAGAATTCTTGGTGATAACCTAGTACAAGTATTGCTTGGTGAGGGTTTTTCTTTTCTTGTTGTTTTGAGAGAGAGGGTTTGTGAGACCAGAAGAGGTTTTCAGGGGTAGGGGTGTGTGTGTGTGTGTGTGTGTGTGTGTGTGTGTGTGTGTGTGTGTGTGT